GCCCCGACCTTAACGCCTCTGATGGTGGCCTACACCGACTCCGAGGGTCACTGAGCTGTGACGCGAGCGAGGAGCGGGCCCACGTCGAACTTTTCTCTGACTGCTGTTAGGATGCTAGCTGCATTGCCTCTCTGCAAAGCCAAACCCAACCTTTGTTCCAACCATAGAGTCTCTCTACGTTCGCCGGACAATTCCGTAATGCGACGGCCAATCTCTGATATTAAAGGACCAGTCGTTTCACCATATGTGCCCGTCGTTTCTAATGCGACTGACTCGAAACGATACCGAGCTGCCAACGCCGCGTATTTACGTCTCGTGCTATCCTCCGCCGCACGAGCCGCGAACCCAGCAGAATTATTGACGTGCGACTCAGCAAAAGTGTCGACGCAGGTTGCATCCCAGCACAAACACCTCCCATTAGAAAATAGGAAAACCGTTAAGACATCTGGTCTCTTACCATCCCCTCTGTCCACTCCGACGGGCTCAAGACATGAAGGAACGCCTGCGCTCTGAAGAGCCCTCCTGATCACATCGTTCAGAGCCGAGTGTCTCGGATGTCGCCCAGCTCTGTACTTACAAGAAAGGCCATGCAGTCCTCGTGCATTCATCCGCTTTCCGCACCGACAAGTGTGGGGTTCGCATACATTTGCGCCAACTCGAAGAGCAATTGAGACGCGGAAGGAGTCGGGATCTAGAAGTGTTCCAAGAGCATCCGAAGGAATTTATTTATTTTATTATTTATTTATTTGTAAGTACTAAATTTTCGAGATCAGCGCGTTTTCGTAGCCAGTTTACCGTTCGTAGCTCTTATTTCGAGTCAAAATCGATTTTCATAACGGGAAATTTTTAACGTTGCAAGTGACAAAATAAATTCTATGGTCAACTTTTGGGAAGCTTGAAGATTTGAATGAAAATAAAAAAATAATTAGTGTAAATCAGTTTTGTATCCTTGACGACCGACCAATTATTATATCAAGATCTTTTGGAGTCAGATCAAGTAGAAGAGTTTAACTCGTCGAACTGAGGTCGGGTAGATCCTGCATAGCAATTCAAGATTCAACACTACCTATGTTTTTAAAATTTGAATTTCGTTAGTTCTAAAGATCGTTTTCTTTGTTTCAGGAACTTCGGAACATTCGAAAGGACAAAAAGGTTTGTTGAATTTTAGAGTCGCGTTATGGTAGCGAATGTCACTATCCTGATAAACGCGCTATTCTGACCATTAAACAGCAATTTATTCTTGTTTGAATTTATTATGCATGGCCTGTATCCTCAAACGAGTCATATCATCGCCTGAACTATGAAAATCATCGAACGTATCCTTAGCTACGTCAGGGGATCAAGTCAGGAGCGGCTTGTAATTAATCAGGTAACGCTTTCCTCCCCCGCCAGGTCCTGCCTCGGAAAGAAGAAGGTGCCTGTGCTGACGGTGGTCCTGGCTGAGTGCTGGGGCAGCGCAACCCTAGCTCTCAGGTGAGACTTTTCAAAGTAAATGAGAGACTATATACTCCTGTCCAAGGATAGAAGTTTATATAGTGATTCCACCATTTTACAGGGCGTGATACATAGAATAAATAGCGGAACTAGATTATTTGATTAATTAACTATAGTATTATAATACAATAATAGCTTAGCTGACAATTCTTTATATTGTTCTAAGATGTTATTTTTATTTTCCTGAGATCTCGGTCTTCGTTTTGAGTCATGGCTACCGAGGGAGGAGAGTCATTATTATTGCCATCATCGGTTAGTTGTTCTGATAGGTTCAGTGAGGTCGTCATCGTCTATCTACTCGGTTCTTAGATTGAAATCAGACTGTTTAGTCTTTGTCTCTGGTTAGTTATAACAAAAGTTGAAGATTTTTGAGGAGTCTCTGTCAGGAAATGTCTAGTCGATGTCGTAGTTGGCCGTAGTTTTTCTGCAGTTCAGAGCGTGTTAATCAAGGATTATTCTGTACTTGTCGAACTAAACTGGTAGCTGTACAGTCAGAAATTTTTATAGGACGCCCTGAACGAGGCAGACTAGTCGAAAGATGGAATGATTTTCACCTCCGAACAGTATCACCAATTGTCGATCTGGGATATTTAACATAGATGAAATTTTTATATATCCCAAACCATCTCTGGATAAATAAATAATTAATTTTCTAGATGATTCTCAAATTCTGGAGTTTTAGGCATTGTTGAAAATTTAGGCCACCATTTAATGACGATGCCATGCATTGAATGATTGCAGTTAGAAAGATATCTATGACGTTCTTTTGCATTCTAGAATATTCCAACGTTTTCTCATTCTAGAATATTCCCCCGAACATATTATGTCCAATTCCCATTCGACATAATCATTGTCGAATCTAAATCTTTTTACGATGTGTTAGATACCTTTTGAGCCCTGACTTTTACAAAATTGCAATTATTAAGCCAATATTTAATGATATTGTTATTTGATATAATATTTGTATTTCCCATATAAATTTACTTGTGAATAGTGTTTGTTTATGTTATTTTGTTGAATAAGCTTTAATTAAAAAAAATTTTTCTTCTGTGTTGGACACTTTTTACGCCCACTGTAAGTGCCACATACAAGATAATGATTGCAGGTGCCACAGCGACGGACTGTGGGGGTTGTACGGGGAAGCTGCAGTCAACGCAACCCAGCCACGCATGCGGTTCGTCTGCCAGCCCCGACACCTCAACCCTCCAAGTGACTGAATAATTTATTATTATGTTGTGTTCATGGAGAGCCCTATTTGATTAGGCCTTCAACCGGTCATCCGGTTCACTTGTCAGGTTGCTGTCCGAAGCTTTACGCAAATTTTTAGCATGTTCGAATTCTTGACTTTGCTCAGAGGTGACAAATCAGTAGGAGGGATTCGGTAAAAAGCGCATAAATATTGAAATGTTACTCTGAATCATCATGGCACAAATAACACATCATCCAGTTAGCTAGGAAAATTCTATTCTAAAGAAATCCCATTTAACATCCAACAAATCAGGTCCATCACCCGAATCTATTATGCAGCAAGCACCAGCGGCAGCGTCGACTTGAAGTCTAGCGATGGTGCTGGTAGTAGCTATATAGTCAGACTTAAAGATATTTGGTAGCCCCGGCACTCGGCACGATTTCTACCTGTACTATTCTCTGCAGCGCCCGTTATTCCGAGGCTTCGCTTCTCACTGATCCGGTTAGTCCCTTAGCAGGCTTTACCTGATATGCTGAGACACGGCCTGAGGATTGTCGTGGTCCAACTACTTTAGCTTGTGTTGCGGAGGGGTAGGCATTAAGCGAGGAGTCTACCTTTTTCCTTTTCATTGTCTATTCTATTCTGTAGCTGTGAAAAAGGCGCATTACATGCAGCAAACCGTAAGTATGTGTGAGCTTTAGTTTGCGTGAAGCAGTTTTCCTCACAATCGGTGCAAATAAATCTTTTAAAAAACTGCATGTAAGAATTTGTTATTCGCGTTAAACTGGACAACAAGTCACGCGGTGCTTGTTGGTATCCTCAATACGAGTAATAGGTTATGGGAAAGCCGAAGATACAACACCCAGCAATTTTTAGCCTTAACTACTTTTTGGACCCGTTTCAGTTACTTGTCTCTCCCGAACAATTAAAATTTCCAGTTAACGCGAGCTTATAAAATAATTTTCTACTTCAATTTACGAGCTACAACATCGAATTCATATTATTCGATTAGTAAAGCCCTTTTCTGATTAATACATTGTTTGGATATATTGTGTAAAACAAGGAAAATAGGGGAAGAGGGAGCAAAAAACGAAAAAAATATCCAAAAATGTAAAGCGAAATTAGAAAAAAGGTGTCTAGGGTCGCTAGACATTTGCAGTACAAATCGAATGATATTGTCTCTTTATGTTGTAGCTCGTAAATGAAAAGAGGAGATAAGTATATATAGGCGCCCTTTTTTCAGTTTTCTTTACATTTCACGTTATTCTTCCTTATCCCAAAAAATTCAAGCTAACCAAATGTTATTGAATTTGTTTTTTTGCATACGTGTAAGAAGTTTCAGAACGATTGTTAAAATAATGAAGTTTTTGAGGGTAAGCCCTTCCCTCTTACATATTTGGTGAGATATGGCCAGGCTTGATGTTTGTCGTTGTCTAACTTCTTTTGCGTGTAGCGCAATCGGCATGCTTCAACAGATTAGTTGAGACGTGGCTTTAGATTCGTCGTGGTTGTGGCACTTGACATTATTTGTGCGTTTGAAGCAGCCGTAGTTCGTCTTCACAGGAACAAATTGCGCTCTTAAGTCTACACGCTGATGGTTGACAATGAATCTTCATCATTTACACGAGACACTTCTTATTCATCACCACGCGAACGATCACTAACTACCACTTGCCGCAATAACAAACCCCGATCTCACTCACCGTCACACGACTGCTCTTTCGTCCCACCAGATTGTAAATTGAGCTCCAAGTTCGCAATAGGGTTCTTATATCTCCTTCCAGCAGACAACCTCTCGCTATGTCCCTACATGTAATTTAAATCGAATTTTTTACTCATTAATCCCGTAGTGTTTTTTCTTGTTTTGTTGCTCTTTAATCAATTCTTGTTCACGCTAAGCATTTCCTTAGTGCCACAAAACTTTCTCCTTCAGTGACTGAACTATATCTTTATGTGGCTGTACAGATCCCAATAATTGGCTCCAGCGGCCATGTGATCTGTGAAGGTTTCAATCCAATCCAATCGAAGTGAATGATGTGTATTTAATTATTTGAAAGAAGTGGAATAATTTGATCCTCTCGACATTTGGCGGGTGAAATTCCTAATGAAATTAGATGTAACGTTCTACAGCTGAACTTTTTCAGCCCTTTGAATTTATTTACTCAATCTTCTACGTTCTCATTCTAACAACCCTAACGAACCATTGCTTGATCAGGGCTGCTGATTGTTTTTCATTTCTCATTTGTAGTTTGTGGACGGAAACCGCGCTACCGGAGCACTGGGACTATCTTACAGCTTGACGAGTTCCAAACCCCGCGCAACCTCTCCCCGTGGCTGCAGGGGCTCAAGAAGCGGGAGCGCTACGAGTGCAGCGCCACTCTTATCAGCGACTCGTGGCTGCTGACAGCAGCGCACTGCGTCGCCCGGTACTCTCACTTATTTTACTGATTATTAAAGCATTTTGATCTGCAATTCCTGTGGCTTCATCAGGAGTCGTCAGATAAAATAAAACTTTTGAGCATCACAGGCTTCTGCCAATTTAATAGTTGGCAAATGTTCCCCTTCCCTGTATTGGGTTTATATTTAGCACTGGTATTCAATTAATAATCATCATCAATCATCATTTATTTGGGTTTCCTGACCCCTAGTGCAGAACTAATAGCAAATATATACGTAGATTGAAATTAGCCGATTTCCCTGCGGTGCAGGCAATTGTGCAACGGTCAATTTCCCTGATAGTCGGGCACTGTTTGACTGCCGGAGATTGTCTCTCTTCATATGTTTTAAATCCTTCACCGAATTGTCATTAGGCGTTCGGAATATTCTTATGATTGTAGATAATTCTGCATTAAATTTACTTCTCTCCATCCTAAAATTGCACTTCTCCCGCATGTGTAAAAATTATTTTTAATTTCATTTCTCATCATCAGTGGCGCATGTACCTCAATATTTAGTCATTGCTGTCAGTTCAACCAGTAATTTTATTCATCAACTGTGTCCTGCAGTTCGCTGGCGAGCAGAAACCGGACAATGGACCCTCGTGACCTGAAGGTGCAGCTCACGCTGAATCCACGCGACGACAAATACGTAAGATTGTATTCTCCTTTCATGACTTATCATCTTAAAATGATGATTATTATACGTAGTTGTCTTTCTTTGGTGCATTTAGTAGAAAAACATTAGCTTATTCGTGATTTTTCTTTGAATTTCATGCTGACGCTTGTGCTCTCGTTCTCATAGCATCACACGATAATGCAGATGATAAGCACGATCCAAACATGATATCTGTGCCCATAAATAGGTGAAGAAAATAAAACTTCATCCTGACTACGAGCCCGCTCAACCACCGCTTAATATTCCGCTCAACGACCTCGCTCTCGTGAAGCTGAAGAAACCATTGACCTTCAACGAGAGAATGTACCCCGCTTGCATAGACCTGGACGGGGAAGGCTTCATCAGCACCTCCACAGCCCTGGTTTGTAGAGCTCATTAACAGCAAAGACTCCGACTGAAATAAATTTGTTAATGACCACGTAACAAGGAAATCAATAACAAACAAGATGGCGCAGGAATTTACCATATCTTAATAAATAAACTAAAATCTAGTAAGTGGATATAGTCATTTTATAATCTATAATTCAAAGTCATACATTAAAACCTAAAATTGACAAATAAAATATACATCAACCTGAAATAACAAAGTAATACTGGCTTATCTGATAACAATCTCAAGGGGAAGGGAACTAAGTGCGGAATTAAGCTAGGCTTCTGTTTAGATATAAATACATTCTATTTGACGATAAGTCCCTAGCTTTAACTCCGCATTCAGTTCCCATCCCTTTAATATTGTTAACAGATAGGCCAGATTTGCTGTGTTATTTTAGGTTGACTTATCTTTTATTTGTGAATTTTAACATTTAATATCTGAATTTCAATTTTGCATATAAAATTACTTTATTTACTTTCTAGATTGTCGTTTTTCTTTATAAAGATATGGTGAATTTGTGTTCCATCTTTTTTGTTTTGAAATTACTTGTTAATTTGCGATTTAATCGATCAAGTGATTGTATACTTCTATGTGACCACGTAATGTTCTATTGAAATTATTTTCGTTCCGAGTGAACATTTCACATGTATATATATTTGATTTTTTAACATTGAATTTTTCGTTAAAATAAAATTTGTTGGAGTCTTTTTGGTGTCGTAACGAGGCTCTACAATAAGGTGTTGATTCCTATATCGCATCAAAATGAGCATTGTCACGCAAGCGAAAATGAATTTTTTTTGTTGCTGAAAGGTACAGTCATGAAAATATTTCCCGATTTCCTGTTCGTGGACATCAAACTCATGATAAGCCTTGCCGAGCAGGCGTTCAGCCGCGCCAACGGTGAGTCAAGGTACGAGTACGATGAGGTGCTGCAGGAGCTGGACCCGGACTGCCACGGTCCCGCCCCTCGGTGCCGGTCCTGGCACATCGAGGACACGCAGTTCTGT